CCTCAAGGCCAGCAAAATTATTAAATGAAGTACTGAAAAGTCATGCAATTGTATGAAAGTGTAGGAGTGTGTGAGTGTGAAAAGGGAGACCTATATGACACCAAGGTGGAACAGCAATCCCAGGAGAAATGAGAAAATAAAGGGGAGAATGAGTTCTTGCCCAAATCAAGGCTCCTCTTTGCACTGTGGTCCCTCGGACTTGTTTATCTGATGCGTCTTCCTCCGTAGAATGTCATGTCTTTCAGTATGAAAGTTATAGTTCTCCCTCTGTCATAACTGGGTGATGGTTCTGGGTCTAAGGGTTGCTACGTAATCTAGAAATATTATTCTGAAAAATACTGTGCATGCTTCTCTCTCATTTGCCATGGAAAAGAAAATTATTGGTCACCTCACAGGACCAAACTCTATATTTTTATCGCAGACTGATATTCTGTCCTTGTATCAACAATTTTTAATTTTATTTTAATTCTGCATGTGCTTGTAGAAAATAAAGGACTGGAGAAGGCAGTGTTCACTTTTTCCTTGTTTATTGCTCTAAGAGTACCTAACGTAGTTAAGAGCCAATTTAATTCCATCAGTATGCCCTTCTTTTTTTCTTACTTCTCTTGGCCAACTTGTAGCAGAATAATGCATGTAGGTGTCATTTTTTGCATCTTTAAATCTGAACTCTACGGATAATGCTACAGTTCAATTTGCAACCTGGCCTGTAGTCAGGACTGGCCTATCCTACTACAGCAGTTTATTGTGGTTTTTACTAAATCGTTTATATACCTTGGATAGAACACACAGCTGCCAACAAAGCTCAAACAATGATTTGATTACCCAGAAGCATGAGAATGTCATCAGGAGTATGCCATGGTGTTGTCATCTTCTGGCATCATTGGAGAGAAAAAGCAGAGCTTACAACTGGTCTAAATTGCAAACAAAGTATTTGCATAAGGGGTCATATTTTGCCCTTGTTATCACATAAAATTTTCTCTCAACAGTCTTTATGATTGCATTTTAAATTTACTTTTATTTGTGGGATAAATGACCATATCAAGTTAGTTATTTGTCCTTGCTTTCCTACTTATCTATCCTTTTCATTGCCACCGTTAACAGCTTCTGCTCTCTTATCTTTGCATCTCATTTATCTGTTTCTTTCACACATCTCTCTGGGCTTTATTCCATCACAGTTTTTTGTGAGGAGGTCCTTTCCTGACCTGGCTCATGAGCTTGCTAATTTTCCTTCATGTCCTTACTGAGAATCTATTTCTACTTCAAGCTGTCTCAAAGTTATTCTAGAAGGTGATTATTTTAGTTATCCCTACAAAAATAATTTACTTTCGTCTCACCTGCTATTCACACTAGACTTCATGGATTATTGCACGGTATTCCTGCCACTAGTCCTCTTGTTTTTCACTTCTTCCTTACACTGTTTATGGAGTTAGAATGTGCTTTTGTTTGGGGATTACGCCATTATTGCTTCTGAAAAATGACTAAATGGTGAGTTGTCTGATCATTGGTATCTTCCTGATATTTGTATGCTTTGTCTTTTTGTTTGTTTGTTTTTCTTGCTGGATAGGAACCCTTACTCTTTTTTTTTCAGGCAAGATGCTAATGACTTTAATAAAAAAAAGAGATAAGTTTACCTGAGCAGAGATCACAGGACCAGTCCCAGGGTTTGTTGGACTGTTGAACTCTGGGGTAGCAAATTTTGAAAACTCATCTGAAGAGTTTCAGAAAACTCCTCTAAGGGGAAGCAAGGCAATTGACAGAACGAGTTATTGTGAAGGTAGGCAGAAATCTGAATTTCCTTCTCCACAATAGCTACCTGTGATGAGTGGTAGATGCAAAGTAGCTTAACTTCTTTCATGGGAAGGCTGAAGCAATCCCAGTGGCTGAGGTCACTGTAGGGGAAAAATAAGTTCTCAGTAGAGCTAGGGGAAGCTCTTTCGCTGGGCTTACTATTTCATTTGGACTCCAGTGATTTTGTGGAGCAGCTAATGTGCGGTGAAAGTTTATGCCCTGTTTTCACCACACAGTGGCATGTTTGTGTACGCGTAGTCGGTTTGCACATGAAGATGTGCATTTTTGACAACACGAGGGTCTCAGAAATGTGAATAGTATGAAGTATGAATAAACCAAAACCATCATTAATAATCTTGCAGTATGTAAGAGTTAACGTATTCTAAGAATTACTTCTCCATTCAGATTTTTCCTCGTCAACTCTGGATTGTTCCCAGTCTGAAAAACATTGTATGCATTTGAAAAGTCTTTTAGAGGGTTTTGTTGAGAAGAAGGAAGGTCTGGTTCTTACATCCAAACTCCCCCTCCACATCAGAATAGAAAATAAGAATACAGCAGGCTGTTTATTTTCAGTCACTGATAATTGCTCTTTTTTCAAGTACCTGATGAGTTTAATGTCTTACATTCAATTTTTTCCCAACAGTTGTGTCCCGTAAGGGTATAGTTACTGAGAGAGAGCTAATTGGTAGAAGGAACATTCTTGTTTCAGCAAAAGACATTACCTTTCCCTGCTGTTCAACTTTTGTAAGCATTTTGTATACGTGCCAGCATCGTTTCTCGTCTTTTGACTAATTGAGTGACCGCAAGAGATCAGATTTGTATTTGCGTTACAGAGTTAGGGATTTGTTCACCCAAATGAATTGAGAAAAAACCTGGGTTTACTGCTGCTCATTTTTTGTCATCTGCTGTGTTTCATCCCGAGAGAACAATATGCAGCCTGTCACAGAACTGTTAAAAACAAATTTGTTACCTGGCTCCCCGGCTTACAGAGTTCTCCTAGAGCTTCTGCTCATGGCTCCTGAGGTTTTTGCACGTGCTTGTAGTCAGGAGGGGAAGCAAGCAAGAGAAGGTATTTGAGTATGGTTTTAGCATCTATGGCTTCTTAAAACCTCTTTGAGTCTATAGGTGGTCCTGCTCTGATCAAATCTTCTCCAGTACACATAGTTTTTGCAAGGAATATTTACCTTCAGTGGTTGGGAAATATTTCTAAGAAATATTTGTATTGCTGGGTATGAATATCACAGAATCACAGTAGCAGAGATCATGAAGTGTAATTGCACACACCAAAAAAAAAAAAAAGTGGAAAAAAGCAGTTAATTGTGTGGTTTAAAAAAGTGGTATTTGGACTTAGAGTGGGAGATAACTAATATTGTGGCTAACTGCCCCAAGGCAGTGTTGCCTATCTGGGCAAGCTATATATATGAGTAGTAGCCATCCTGGGCATCCCAAAGAGGGATAATTAGATGCTATATGCTCGTGCAACGTTTCTGATCATATACCTATTACCCTTTTTAATCCTGAGCATCAGTCTGTGTTGAAAACAAACTGTGTGTTTTGCAGAGTAGGGATTATAAATTAAGCCCCCTCCAGAATTAAACACTTACACAAACAAAAGATAATTATGTTGCTGATCTCTTGAAAATGTGAGTATAGCGATAGCCAGTTTTCTCAGTTCAGGCATCTCGCAGTGTCAGATATTCCAAATTGGTACTATTACCAACATGAAACCTCCCCTTTGAGAATGAATTCCAAAGTTTGAAAATAAAATAAGCTTTTATTTTCCTATAAGAAGGGCATAAACTATGCATAGTTTGATAGATTACAGTTTTTTTAATAAGGCAAGTCTTCTGTTTGAATTTCCCTTGCTGTTGTTTTTAACCATAGAAATAGGTTGAAAGGTTAAATCCAGCCTTCCCAGTACTTCCTAAGGAACTTCTTTGTAGCCTCAGTAAATATCTTAATATATTAATGAAAGAATAAATGTGATCAATGTCTTCTCAAATGTCATTGAAAAATCATTGAAAATCATTATGATAAAGGAAGGAGCTTAGAGTTTTCCAAATGTTTTCCTCCTTCCTTTGCTCATCTGTTTCCTTGATTTGATTTGCATAGTATTATGATTACATACAGCAAATCAGTTATGCCAATACAAGGGGAAATTTGGTTTGTAAAAATTATTGATGTATTTCTTTCATGAGGAACATCATCTTTTCTCCTGTTTTACATTTGTATATTTACACTGATAATGAAAAGATTAGCGTATTGTGACAAGAAGTGTTGGGATTTGTGATGGTACCGTGACACAAAACCTGTCAAAAAGAAAATATTAGTTCTAACCAAGACATTGTAAAAATTCTGTACTTTTTAAAACTTCTATTACTAATCCATGTAGATTACCTAAGCAGAGGACGGAACCTGTTTCCATAATGCAGCAGATTAAATCCCATCCTTTTAACCTCTCTGTGCCTGCTTAAGAATGTGATATTTGTCTTTCTTTTTTGACTCTGTCATCTGTAATGTAGTTTTACTGATTTGCAGGTTAGCCAATGTTGACTTCTCTTGCAAGCTTAACTAGTCTGTAAATGCAAATAGTCATTACAATTGCTAAAAACAGTTTAAATTTTACCCATTAGTAGAGAGAAAAAACAGTACAATACCTATTAAAATATGCTTTTAAAAATAGAATTGCAGTGGAAAAAAGGTAAGTGCTAAGTTTAAATGCACAATTTCAATTTGACTTCTCTGTGCATCACCATTATCACAGTCTGATCACTTACTGTTATGTAATCATAGAGTATTTTAGTGTTATTTGATCTAGATAATAGTACTAACACCTACCTATGATATATCCCAAAATATGTGCAGAGAGTATATCTGTATTTAATATATATTCTATATATAATATATATAATGTCTATATCGCTATAGATTTTTAACTTGAATTTTAAAAGGCATTCAGTGGCTGCAAGCTGTGTGGAAGCAGTAACATTTTAGTCATGTGATTTAAAGGTATTATGTAAATAGTGTTCAGAAACTATCTCCATACCTGGGATTTTTTCACACACTGTGAGCCAAGTGTGATGCAGTAAAGGATTGGTTATAATCTTCCTTATCTTGAACTTGTGCTCTGATGTTATACTAAATCATGATTTCAGTAAAAGCTGACTAAGTCTCATTTCTAACTGTGACACCTTTCTTTTTCTCTGTTTCAGCTGAGACAGTCCCAGTCTTACTGCACAGACACAGAATGCCTTCAGGAATGTGAGTAACTATCAAGACCAGGTGCATATAAATAAAACAAACAGTAATAATAAAAATACAGCAGTTGATTTAACATTATAGGAACATGTGACATGAAATCAAATACCACAGTACTAAAATTGTTATGTGAGGGAGGTAGTTTCTGAGAATCTGTGGTGCAGATGAACATTTGTACATTGGAAGCAGCAATGGCAAGCAGACTGGAGATATCGATTCGACCTCAAGCATTGCTGAATCTTACCATTAACTGGCTACTCATGGCTTGAACGGGTGTGCTCTTCACTGGGTGAAAAACTGTCTGGGTGGCCAGGCCCAAGAAGTGACTGGAATTAAATCCAGTGGGCAGCTGGTCACAAGCAATGTTCCCCAGGGCTCAGTGTTGAGGCCAGTTCTCTTTAATATCTTTGTCAGTGATACAGACGAGGATATTGAGTGCACCCTCAATAAGTTTGCAGATGACACAAAGCTGGGAGGGAGCGTTGATCTGCCGGAGGGCAGGAAGGCTCTACAGAGGGACCTGGACAGGCTGGATCAATGGGCCGAGGCCAATTGTGTGAGGTTCAGCGAGACCAAGTGTCGGATTCTGCTGGGTCACAACAACCTCAGTCAACA